TTCTGCAAACAAGGTTGTGTCATCTTCCTAATGCAGGTTGTTGATGTTGATGATTCTTCCTGCAATCCTTATGCCATCTTCCTTTTCTTGTAGTCTATCTTCTCAGGTGTGGCATGAACACGATTATGTGTTCTGAGATTTCCATTATTTTCAATGTTATCCATAAATCTTCTGGAATTTTATTCTCAGCGATATCTACATGTTTAACACAGTCAAATGTCTTTGGTTGTGAGTTAATAGAGTATGAGTAAATCTCCTTTTGCTATCCTTTGCTTTCAGCCAAAATCTATTGGATATCAGGAATGATAATTGTTTTCCCAGAGCTTCTTCTGAATCCACCTTGAATTTTTGGCAGTTCCCAGTTAATGAACTACTCCAGTCATCTTTGAGTAATCTTCTGTAAGATTTTACTAACATGAAGTACTATTAATGTTATTATTAAATAATATCTGTGTTGTGTTGGATCACTGTTTCTTTAATGTGAACAAGTAGAGTTGACCAGGTACCTGTCTTCCAAATGTTTTCACATAGACAAGTGAGTATGTCCAGGGCTGGGTCTATTTGCTAAAATACTTTAATTCTGAGTACTTCAGTACTTGGAATTGAAAAAGAATACCTATTTTTTTGGGAGTCCTCGTAGCCTAGTGGCAAGAAGTTGTGATGCAATCCCAGTGGAACGCAGTTTGAATCCAAGGAGGGGCAGTTTCTTCCAGTCGGATCCGATTTGATGGTACACACACAATAAATTTTTTTTTAAAAAGAATACTAGTTTTCCCCAAATTATTTCTTCCTTCAGTACTATTTGGTTTTAAAAGAATTATTATTACTGGTTTTCATTCAATCATTTCATATGTATTTTGATAAGTGCCTTTTATCACAATGTCTTCTCAAGTTCTAACTATACTTTACATATCCCTTCATTCTACCCATCCATCTACTAATCTCTAATGCACTAGTACCCTTTTTTGTTATTTTCTCCCCACGTTCCGCCCTCTTTCTTCTCTTCCTTCTTTCCGTGTGAACGTATCTGGCTCCAAATTGCTAATTGCAATACATATATATTTGTCTATTCATTCTAGGTTGATCCTTCCTCCCCTTAATTGCTTACAGTATTCATTGGCTGTATATTCTATTTCTACTCCCCTCATTCCTCATGTGCTCACGCAAAACCTATAACTACACTGTGAGGCTGTTGTGTGAACAAAGCAAGGGAGTACTACATGGTTTAAAATTAAGAAGGGAGTGCGTCAGAGTTGTATTCTCTCTCCATACCTATTCAGTCTGTATACTGAGCAAATTACTTGAGAAACTGTACTCTATGAAGAGGAATGTAGTATCAGGATCGGAAGGAGACTCATCAATAACCCACATTATGCAGATGACAACCTTGCTTGCTGAAAGTGAGGAGGACTTGAAGCATTTGCTGCAGAAGATCAGACTATAGCCGTCACTATGTATTACATCTCAGCATTCAGAAAGCACTGTTATTCACAGGGTTTTTGAGGGCCTGTCCACCATGAGTGGCTCTGGTGGTATTTGATATACTAGTGACATAGATTTCAGCATTGAAGCAACAAGCAAGCCACTGTAGTATGGCAAACTGACAGACATGTGGTAGAAAAAATACTAGACTAGAGCAAATTGCTGCCATTGGTTCTTCTTCATATATTACCTCCTGAAATCCATTGGTTTTGTAAATTATATGTCAACAAAATCCAAGGAATACTGCCTTTGCTTATACCATTTTCCAAAAAAGTTATCTTAATTAAACAGTTTTTTAGTTTATATTTCATGTTGTTGTTGTTGTTATGTGCCGTCGAGTCGCTTGCAACTCATAGCGACCCTATGTACAAAAGCCCTAAACTCCGCTCTGTCCTGTGCCAATCGTACTGTCTCTGACACTCCCATC